CCCACTCTCTCTGAGAAGCAATGGAAAAAATATCCTCAGGTGAGGATTAATAAAGAAAGCAAAAAACCCAAAACAGTGACCAGCTCTATGACTGGAAAATCTGTCCATCATTCTTTCTTTCTCTGAACATGTGTTTCTGTTGCCCCTTAACAGTTTATTCTAATACACGTGGTCTTTCCTCGGTTCCTGTCTGCTTTCTACTCTCTTCTCCTTATAAGAACTAGTTACATCGGATGAGGGCCCCCCGTCGACCTCGTTTTACCTTTCTTACCTCTTTAAAGACTCTGTCTATTCAACATCTGAATTTTGGGAACACCTTCAGCCCCCCACAGGTACTAGGTACTTTACTTGATCTGCAGGCCTCCCTAGCCTCCATGCATCTGGAGCGGTTCCTACTCTGTCTTGCGTGGCTGGGTGTTTTTGAAGCACATAGGCCAGTTATCTGAGGAGGGTACTTAATTTGGTTTGTCTGGTGTGTCCTCTTGCTTGCTTTGAGCTTACGATTTTGACAGGACTATCACAGATGGTATGTTCTCTGAACCCCTGCAGGCAGGCACCTCCCATTCCTGGTGATGGCAACACCCATTGGTTGAGGTCTCTGCACTGGAGCGTCCTCCCTTGTCTCACTGTTTCAGAAGAGAGTTTACACAGAAGCCTCTGTCTCTCTCTCTCTCTCTGTTTCTCTGCATGTTGGCAGCTCCAGTCTAACCACAGACCCCTCCCAGCGACTCATTCCCAGCTCGGGAACCTTGCTCTTTGACACGGAGAAGCCTGGGTCCCAGGATTAGCACCACTTGTGTTCCTCGTTGTCCCTCTTACGTTTAAAGGGCCATGAGAATTGCTTCCTCATGAGGAGGTAGAAGCAGGGAGAGCTGTATTGTGGTAGTTTCTCTGAAATTGACATCCAGTAAGCTAAGATGCCTAAAAGTGCTGATAGTCACATCACCAAAATTATTTTTAGTCATCTGTTAGCTGAAAACTTATTTAGGTTGGTTCACAAAGCTTCAGAAAACATGACTAGACCTCATCAACACCAATATTTTAAATTGCCCCTTTGTGTTATATTAGGGCAGTTTTAGAAAGGGGTTATTTTGAAATGGGAGGTGGAGAAGACTCATTTTTAGTTAAGAGTATGTGTGAAAGTTCAGGAGGTAGAAATGGAAGCTCCTAAAATGTACCCTGTTCCGACATATCCCTTGAAGAATGATTGATTGTGCATTTTCAAGAAAATGCCATTTAAACACTGCTGAGTTAATCTGGCCATTCTCAGAGGGGATGGCCCAGGGCTTTAGAGCCCTTCTGATCCACTGGTTGTTGCAGCATGAAAGCCGGGTTCGATCATGATTGAGTGATTACACCAAAGTAAATCCCAAACTAAACAAAAACAGCACTGCTTCTGCGAAGTCATGACATAGTTAATAGGCGTTCTCTTTTTACATTGATTATTTTAGGTAAGTTATTTTAGGGTAAAATTACTGGAATTTTTATAAACATACTGGAAACAACTTCAGTTTTTCTGAACACTAGGAAACTATTTCCACCCTCCAACAGGGACAGGTGGTGTATGTGCCACCTGTCAAGCCAGGTTGTCCCCAGGCTAGCCGGCTCTGGATGGGACGCTCTCCTGCCCGGGTTTTTGTAGACCCAGGGGCCATTGCCTTGAAGGTGCATGTTGAAATCCATACAATGCAGCCTCAGCTCTCAGAGTTCCTTACCATTTCATTTTTACTACAGTATTTCTTCTCCTTGATGCTTAGAAATCACATTGTTTTCAAGAGTTTCTCCCACTGAAAAACGAAGTAACTGCCTTCTCGTCCTGCCTTCCCCACCTCCCTTCCCTGGCTTCAGTCTGAGGAAGACTGGGTCCTGGGTTTGTCAAGGCTACTCCAATTCAGAAAAAGACCACATCCCATCTTCTTTAGAGTAGTCCTTGCTTTGTTGATGAGTCAGCATCCTCCTAAATACAAAGACGCAGCTCCCTGCTTTACATCTGTCTCAGTAAGATGGCAGCTGGTCCTTACTGCAGGATCCCCAGAGCCTTCCTCGGTGAAACATGGTTCAGAGAGCACTGGGGTAGAGTTCAGGACCTGAGCTCCCATCCTCATTGCAGCTTACGTGAAGTTTTCTCCTGAACAAGTTCGCTTTGCTTGGTTTGAGCACTTTCCCCCCAGCATCCTGTGACGATGAGGCAGACCTCCTTTAATGAGCATCGTCCCAAGCAGTTAGTCCCATCTGCAGACTATTGCCTTTCCTTCAAATTCTTCTTCTTTGTGGAGAATGTACATCAGTATTTATGAAGATCGTAAGTGTGAAAAGCCTTTTAACTGCTGGCTGTCTTCCAGTCAGAGTAAGTGTTGGTCCTGGGAAACTCAAATATTCCTGCTCCTTAACACAGCATCATGTCCTTGATAAGAGCATGTTTCCTCCATGGAAATTGTTTCTGGTCCTGATTAGGATCATGTCACTTTATTATTGCTCGCGCCATGGTCTGGTCTGATTAAGAGGCCTGTCCAAAAGGCCAGGCACGTGGGCTAGATCAGCACTCACTGAGTCTATTCTCTTTTGTTTATCTGTAGTTCTATTAGGTTTTACCCCTTTTATTGGATTAAAGGGCCAGCTTTCTGAACGACATCTCTATTTTACTTTTAATACATAATTGTTGGCACTATCAATGGAAGGATAACTATTAAAAAAGACTGAAAGTCTTTTAAAACTAAAACAGCCCATTAACTTACTCCTGCGTATTACAGTCTTAAGGAACAACTTAGGTGTGAGTGCAAGAGCCAGCAGGACAGTAATACCTGCTGTGGTTTGTGCCTGAAAGAGAAGTCCTTAAGAGCAGGTTAGCCCTATACACTGTGGGTCAGAAGACATTGAACCTCAATAGAATGTGGACAAAATCATTGTTAGGGTGAAACTAATTGGCTATGGACAGATTTAATAAATGGTTCAACTTTAATCATTCCTGAATTCATCACCCAAGTATCGAGTACCTTTTCAGGGCCAGGTGGTGAGTACAAGGTGACCATTCTGAACACTGCCCTCATTGATCTGACACTCGCTCCAGGATAGGTGTGGTCCTGGACATTTCACATATAAAAACTCATTTAGCCTCACAGAAGTCCTGAGTGAGGTTCTTATGATTTCCATTGATATAAGAAAATATGGACACATGAAGCTCAAGTAACTTGCCCAAGGTCACACAGCAAATAACATTAACCTTGAACAAAATAACTGCTTTTCCAAATAAACTAATGTCAGGAAGAGAGCACTCTGAAGATAGATGTTTGCACGTTGTTTCATTGTGTCGAGCCTGTTAGATAATACAGGGTGGGCAAAAGTAGGTGTGCAGTTGTTGATACTGAAAATAATACAAAAATTAATCACTAATAATACAAGAATAGACTCTCTTTCACGTACCCACAACTATAAACCTACATTTGCCCACCCCTTTATGTAAAGATTCAGCTGATCTGTTTTCAGGATTAACTGATTGACATTAGTAAAAATAGAAATGTTTCTGAATTTCAACCAAACAATTAGCAGTTAGGGAACAAAGTTATAAGTGGATGTCTAAGAACAAGCAGGACTACTGTTCCATTTGGATCTACCCACTTTCTGGCACTACCTTCTCGAATGCTATAACTGAAAGTCAGACTATTGAAATAAATTAAACTGAGCCAGACATTGATGTCACCATCTCACAGAGTATTAAAGAAAAAGCTTGACAACTGATAACATACATTAATTACATGTTTTTATTTTAACATGTATAATTGTTTAATAAGAACAAAAGGTCTTGTTCAGTAAGATACAAAAACATATACTTTTAAAAATTTCTCTTTTAGTTTGTGTTTTATAACATAAACTATATACTAGCACAGTGCGTGTGCACCTAATTGCTAAAGGAGTGTACATTTATGCATCTCCAAAATTCTTCACTAACCAAGGACTTCATAGTCATTGATTGTAGAGACTCCCTGAACTGGCGGACTTTGAGATTACCAAGAATTAAGCTCAATATTTTAAAAGGAGACAGAGAGAAAAATATCTTAACTCTAGGCTCACTTAGTCTCTGTCTATATCCATTCAGGCTGCTATGACAGACTACCAAAACAGACTGAGTGGCTGATAAACCACAAACAGATTTTCATTTCCTATAGCTGGGAGTCCAAGAATGAGGTATGGAAGGAATACCCAGCATTCTCCCGGCCTGGAGAGAGTGGTGAAAAGACACATTACAGGATTGCTCAGTCTTTTAAAACAGTTAGCAATCTCACTTTTATCTTCAGTGTCACCTGTGTAGGCATCTCCAGTGCTGGTGGAAGTGGTAGAGATAGGAATAGCAGTTAATGGGTGGTAAAGGTAGTTTCCATTGCATTTCTGATTCATTTATACCAGATCCTGAACTTTAACGACATACCGTTTTCTTTATGGGGTCTGCCCCCAGATGTACCACAGGATTCGGCACTCAGAGTGCATCTACCGGGTGACCATGGAGAAGCTGTCCTACCACAGCATCTGCACGGCCGAGGAGTGGCAGGGCCTCATGCGCTTCAGCCTGCCCGGGCGCCTCTGCAAGGAGATCGAGCTGTGAGTGCTCACCTGCGCCGTTTCCTCAGGGACAGACTTGATCGAACTTGAAGGGAAATGGGTTATAGAATTATAGTTGCAAATACCAATCATATGCGGTTTCACGCTGCCATTTTCCCTCCCCAGGTGATTCCACATCTTATGCTACAACTTGTCCAGATCTCATTATTTTTTAAAAAAATGAACACAATTTTGAAATGAGTTAACCTAAATGTTAGCATCCTAATTATTTTTTGTACACTTTACACTATATAATATTTAAATAGCATTTAATATCAAATATCTAAAAGTCTTCTGTATAAATTTAAATTTACAAATTAAGTTTGAGAAGTTAATAATAATTAATTCAACTTTCACACTGTTTTCCAGTCCTATGCTGTACATGCTAATATATGCTAATATATGTAATTACTGGTGGTAGAACCACTGATAATTTGTATACCCATTATCAATACAAGCTAACACTATTTAACTACATAGACAATTTTCAGAAGTGACCCAGAGCTGATAATTGCCGTATAATAAGGAAGATAGTGGTGTTAAATTAATTAAACAAGGAGGCCATAAGTCTGAGGTCACCTCACTGCCCTGGTGGCCTAGGTGGGAAATGGAAACACTGAGGACAGCCCGTCCCAAAGAGCTCTCGGCTTCACCTGCAGCCAATCAGTGAGCCCCTCTCTCCGTTGCCCCTTCTCTGTGTGTCTCCGGGCTCCTGGGTGCAGCCTTCCTAACCACGTCGGGTTGGCGCTGCCAGATTGAATTAATGTTCACTCAAATCAATTCTTAAAATGTTAAATATGCCTTAGTCTATCTTTCAGTGGTATGTATAGTATAAATTGTATTATAATAAGAAATACATATATTTGGTCTTTTAGCTATTTCCTGGCAGGAGTTCTTAAAACCCTTGTGATATGGGAGACGGGGTGCCTTTCCTTATTTGTAATAAAACTCTTTCAACTCTACAAGGGTTTGTGTCGATGAAAGACTCTTAGGGGAAGGAGTCTGGTTTTCAGGAACAAGCCATGTGATAGAACTTCTGTGGGGCAACAGGAAGTAGGGCTGAGGTGTAATCATCAAAGCCCAGTGACTTAGTCAGCCGTGCCTGGGGAGTGAAGCCTCCGGAAACCCTGAACAGGGTCGGAGAGCTGTCCAGTGGTGTAGCATCAAAGTCCTGGGAAGGCCCTGGGGAGCCTAGAGCAACATGAAGCTCTGTGCCCCTGCCCACAGAACCTGCCCACACACCTCTTCCACTTGGCTCTTTCTGACTTGTATCCTGTATAATAAACCCGAAATGGTGAGTGAAGCTTTTCCGAGTTCTGTGAGCTGCTGTAGTGCATCGTCAAACCTCTGCTGTGTAGCTGGTGGGCCAGAAATCTGGGTGGCTGGACTGCAGTTGTGATCTAAAGTGAGGTCAGGCTTTAGGGCTGAGCACTTAGCCTGTGGGGTCTGTGCCAATTCCAGGTGGTGTCAGGATTGACCTGGATTGTAGAGCATCAAGTGGTGTCTGCAGAGGACTGGAGAACTGCTATGTGGAAACTCACACCTTTGGTGTCAGAAATACTGTGACTAGAGGACAGTGGTTTCTTTTAATATTATACCATTACCACTCTTTTATTCAGGTTACATGTTAGTAACTAAATTAGCAAGTGAAAAATGGGTTATAATTTTGGATGCTTATATTTGTGAAGTTTTTCTCTGGATTTAAATAGGAGAAAATGATTTTCAACTCTGTAAAATTGTGGTAATTTTTTATAATTTCCCCCTTTACGTATAAGCTGTGTGATGTGTGTATTATTCATAATATAGTTTAACCACCACATCTTTTTTTTTTTTTTTTACATATTGTTTAACAGAAAATTAAGCAAATAGTGATTTAAGTTCCTAAAGGAATGTGAGGAATTTCCTCTGGGAACCTTTAAATACAACAGAGATGTGACTGAAAAGGCAGGGAGAGAGATGGCTGAACTCCCCGTTTTTCAGTTTCTCAATAGACAAAAAGTTACATTGCTTTCTTTACTTGTTATGTGTATATTGATTATATTTAGGAATAAACTGAGCCTTCCTTTCATTTCATTTCATTTCAGATTCCACTTTGACATTGGTCCTTTCGAAAACATGTGGCCTGGGATTTTTGTCTATATGATTCATCGTTCCTGTGGGACATCCTGGTATGAATGACCTAAAACTTCCTTTTCAAACTATTGAGTGAAATGGCCTCTTCCTCCCCCTCCCCATATGGCCTGCCACTTTCTTGTTTGGGTATTAAAATATGCCATATGTTGCCCGGCTGGGCGTGGCTCAGAGGTTGAGCGTCAACCTAGGATCCAGGCGATTGGGGTTCGATTCCCAGTCAGGGCACATGCCTGGATTGCGGGCTGCAGCCGATCAATGACTCTCCCATTGATGTTTTTTTCTCTCTCTCTCTCTCCCCTTCTCCTTTCCTCTCTCTGAAATCAATAAAGATATTTTAAAATAAAAAAATAAAATATGCCATATATAAATGATTTTTTCTAAGTATTTAAAGTTAAGAAGGCTAATACCCTTGTTGGACAAAGCTACAGACCTTTCGTGTTTACCTGAGCGGCTGTGAGCTCTCTGGCTGTATGGCTGTTCCCCACTCACAACCACGCACCTGACCAGGTGATCATTAAAGGGTAGGCCGAATGAACTTGGTGACTGTTTAACTGAAAGAGATAGAGGTTATCACTCCACATAATTGCATACTATTTTGAAGTGTGTTTGGGAATATATGCATACATTTTGCATCAGCTTTCAACTTACATTATAGATCAGTCAGAGTAGGTGTGAAAGAAACAAGTCTTATAATCCACAGTCTAGAATTTCATCAGTAATGTAGTGGTGACCCTGCTTTCATTGCCCATCTTTCCTTCTCACTGTGGCCTGTCCTAGAGGAACAATTTTCTTCTCCTGTCTTCTCCCTTAGTCCCTGGTGGCTGGTGGAGGCTCAGTTTCCCCAGAACTACTGAAGCCTGCATTTTCTCTTATACCTACTACTCTTTTAAAAGGATGCACACAGGGTGACTAACTCTAGCTAATTTTTAGATATCAACTGAAGGTTTGACCATTTGGAACTCTTAAAATGACATACCTTATACTTTAAGGATGTGAACATTTTCAGTGGAGAAAATACAAGTTACATATTTCTAGACATTTTTTGAACTCTCATTTCTTTGATATTTGAAAGAGCCCTGTTGATGTGCTTTTGTTTTCAGCTGCCTTAAAATCCATTGAGAAAGTTGATAAGCCCTTAAATAAGTATAAATACATGATACTAATATAAAATAATATAAAATATGAGAACCATATTATATAACGAAAATGTCATTTCTGTCACGTACTGTGTTGGGATAGAGTCATTTGCACTAGTAATTTGAGTACCATATCATTTGGATTCATTTGAAAAGATAATCACTCGTCTAGAAACATGTGGTACACATTTGTAGTTTGCGAATCTGAACATGCTTTTTGGGAACTAATAGTTCAGAATACTCTGCATCAGATGGTATTATGTTGTCTGTGAGCTCTGTGGGATGTAGGAAATGCCCGCCAGGTGAGGAGGAGGATGGGAGTGAGTGATGGGGAACCGCAGGCCCTCCTGGTCCCTGCTCCCTGGTGGGCCAGTTGGTAATTGGAACAGAAGCTATTAGAGAGCCTCCTCCCTGAACTGGCCAGAGAGTCAGAGGGAAGCAGCGAGTGAGGCTCCAGTGCCCCTGGAGGTCATGTGGGTGCCAGGCTGTGGTACATGCTGTGCGGACATGTGTGCCCAAACCAGAGGCCTCTTAGTGTGTATTGACTGCCGGTTTCTGTCACAATTTCTTTCCACACAGCTTTGAGCTTGAAAAGTTGTGTCGTTTTATCATGTCCGTGAAGAAGAACTACCGGCGGGTCCCATACCACAACTGGAAGCACGCGGTGACCGTGGCGCACTGCATGTACGCCATCCTGCAGAACAACCGCGGGCTCTTCACTGACCTGGAGGTGCGTGCGCTTGCGCCTGGGTTCTCATGCGAGTAGCCTGAGTGGATTTCATGCTCTGGCTGGAGCAAAGATGTGAATATGTGACATGTTCCAGGACAAATCCTGGTTCTGTAAATTAATTGAAGCACATTTTATAGAGGGCTATTCCCAGGCATGTATCATACTATTTTGTATTAAGAAGTATAATGCACAAATTCCAACTTCACTAAAATATCCCCTAGGAAAAAGTCATTTTTGTAGCCTTTCCTTCTTAGCTAGTCTTCTAAAGGGACATAACACAGTGATTTTCCCATGGCCCCATGCCCTGGGTATGTAGGCACACCCCACTGATGGGCCACCCGAACAGGAAGTACAGCTCAGACCTATGCGTGCATGTGATCTCTCACAGAGGGAAGCAGAGGCTCCGAGGTGTTTCACTGCTTTACCTGCCTTCCCATACCCAGAGGTGGATCCAGTCTCAGAGCGGGAAGGTTCCAGGACAGCCTTGGCTGTGTTCATGCCCTGCTCTTCACTGGACAATCAGAGTGCCTTGTGCCCCCTGCCCCCCTCCCCGACACACATCCCAGGTCTGGAGCAGCCTGACCACCAAGTCATCTTGTCCACCTGGTCCCAGTGAGACCTGAGCAAGCTCTCACTCAAATCCCCTCTCTACTCCTCTGTAACTGGTGTCCTGCTTCAGGGGACATCTAACCATGGAGAGAAGGGAGCCATCATCTCTGTGATAAAGTGCCTTGTCATTCTCTGGTTCATGCAGGGTATAAGGCCTGTAAGGTCTTCAACCTCCCCTCCTGTCTTTCTCCGTCCCCGGGCTACCTTCCTGACCCTCTGACTCGGGAGGCCCACCTACAACCATGTGGTTTAACCACTTCCCACCCACTCCTCCCAGAGCCTCCTGCCTCATCCTTGTCTTCAGGTCCCTGCCCTTAGCCTGCCTCCCACTGTCCCTTCCAGCCTGCTCTGTAGGTTCCCCTTTTATGTGACTTGCCATTTTGCACATGTCGTATGCTTTAGTTGCTACATTCGTGATTTATAATGACCATGACATTGTTAGAATTTAACACCAAATAGATGTTAGTGAAGGACTGAGACTATCCTCTCCTTGTGCAATTTGCTTGCTCTATAATTGGGAACATCTGCTCTCACTTGATACCACCTACATTCTTCCCAGAGCTGAGGAGGAAAACTCAGGAATAACTTGACTCTCGAGTTCACAAGCAGCAGAGCAGAGAGGTTTAAATAAGTTAGATTATTTAGAATTTCAGAGCTTCATAGGATGCTGCTGTGCTAATGCAGAGGCAGTGTGGCAGGAATGATAAACTGTGGGTCTCGTTGCCTGTCCTTGGTTCTGAACACCTGTGCACTGTGTTGTTTTTTAAAGCGCAAAGGGCTGCTGATCGCGTGTCTGTGTCACGACCTGGACCACAGGGGCTTCAGTAACAGCTACCTGCAGAAGTTCGACCACCCACTGGCCGCCCTCTATAGCACGTCCACCATGGAGCAGCATCACTTCTCCCAGACCGTGTCCATCCTGCAGGTGGGACAGCCGGGCCACATGCGCCAGCTGTGGGATGCTCTTCTCAGAGCATCTCTAAGAGTAGAGGGTGCTTTCTTTCCAGAACCTCGTAATCACAGTCAGCATTAGTAACTGTGGATTTGGGTAAAGAATCCTTCATGAAGATGTTGAACATATTTTTGCAGTCACATTTGATGCTTAAGTACATGGTACCCTACACTTTCTAGTTCCAGACTGTTTCTTAACGCCATGCCATTGTCTCAGTTCCCTCTGTTTGTAGTCCTGCCTTTCTGTGGGCAGCTTCTCCTTGTCCTTAAGGCTCGGCTCGGATGTTCACTCCTACAGGAACAGTGCTCTGTGACACAGCTAGGCAGCAGTGTGCCCCTTTGGCATGGCCCGGAGCCCCTGTAACCTACACATATCTCAGTTGTTTCACTTTGTACTAAGGTTTTTGTAGTTGAGTGAGCTCCCCTCTGCTCTGAGTCATGGCCTAGGGGACAGTCCCTGCATTTTACTGGTCTCCATAACTGCAGGCTGCTGGGCCTGAGTCTGTTGATGTGGGCACATGGTCATGTGAAAGCAGAGATGGGGAGTGTCAGAGACCTCAGATTTGGCAAAACAATGTATGCCAAGTTCAGAACTGGGAATCGCAAATTTTATTTAGGGGAAAGTGAGTAGATGAGTCTCCCTGGGGCAGAGGGTTTAGGTGGCTCAGTGGGAGTATGTAAGTAGAATGCCTTCAGTTAAGGAGATGATTTTGTGTGGACAGTGACAGCCAAGAAAATAGCTAAGCTTCATTTTCTTATCTAAACTCTGTACTCACTTATTTTCAATAATCACGATAGAACCATTAGTGTTGGGGTATTAAACACATTATTCTCTTGTGAGATGTTAGTGATTCTTTTCAAAACTGAAGCTACCCCTTTTTTGTTACTTGCCTTCTGTAAATATCCCATGTTAAGTCAGAATTTTAGAAAACAGACCAATTAGGAATGATTATTCTCATTATTAAGAAAAATTTCTCAGTATTCCATTAATCTTGAATCATCCAGGACTTTTGAAATATGTTCAGATTTGAAGAGAGTTATCTTTATGCCCAGCATTTTGGGATCCCAGGACATTTTCATTCCTGTGACACAGTCAAGTGTTCTTCCAGTTGTCTGTACTAGGGAGAGTTACTGTTGTCTGTTGCATTTATAACGAAATTGTTGCACTACACCCGACACTGCCTTTACTAACAGCCTGACATGTATGACACAGAGGCTGGCTAGAATCTGTCCTTCCCTGCAGATGTGTTCAGAACAGAAATGGTCTCTGGCTACCAGATTCATTTCTGGGCATATCTGTGTGTTTGTTTCTCTTTCTCTCCCCCTTAATTTGACTCCAAAAATTATACTGGTAGATTGCATCACCACTGTCACGGTCACCATCATCATCATTTCATCACTTACTGAGTACTCACTATAAACAGGATTAAACACTAGAATTACTTGATCCAGAGCTTGTGTTCTGAATTACGGTCTGTCATGCTTTTTAGTGAGTGGTTCCATGCAGCAGATGACTAAATATCAGAATAAGCATTAGGCATCTTTGCATCTGAACACTCCGAGGGTTCCTCCCTGTGCTGGGCTGCAGTCCCGCCTTACCACTTCCTCCCCGCCCGCCTCCTGAAAGCTGCTCATGAAAGCTGTTTCAGTGCGATGGCTTCCCTAGAAATCACAGGTGACCAGGATTAGAAGCGTTGTCAAAGAAACATCCCATTAATGTTTCAGCAAATACTTCAGATAAATATCAAAGACATCTACATTTTGTAATTTGAAAGTGAAATCATGGATTTGAAAGTGTTTTCCAGACTTACTGTTAGGAACACAGCCAGCTAGAACTAACTCTATCTTCTGCATCCATCGTAGGATGATTTAAATATTTATGAAACCTTAGAGTCAGTGATACAGGAAGACTCTGATGGATGACAACAGACGATGCACAGACAGCTTGACTTCAGAGTGAGAGGGAGCAGACAGTGTGCTACTGAGATGTCTGATTTTGTAAGAAATACACTTTGATAATTTTAAGTTTTAATGTATTTTATCAGCCAGTGACTGTAGCTTTATGACAAACAAAAACACTTAAAAATCAATTTGTGGCCCTAGCCAATTTTCCTCAGTGGTTAGAGCATTGGCCTGGGGACTGAAGGGTCCTGGGTTCAATTCCGGCCAAGGGCATGTACCTCGACTGCAAGCTTGATCCCCAGCTCTGGTCAGGGTGAGTGTGGGAGGCAACCAGTTGATGTGTCTCTCTCACATGGATGTTTTACTCCCCCCCGAAAAGCAATGAAAAAATATCCTCGGGTGAAGATTTAAAAAAGTCAATTTGTGGTAGGACTGTGTGACTGATACTGAAATCATTAAAAAATAATTGATGAGCCCACAGATTTAATGCATCTTAATTATCTCAACCTTTTCTGTTTAAACAAAAACAACCCATTTTTATCTCAATTACAAATAAAATCTTAAAATTCTCAGAGGGAGAAATTACTGTGGAAAGTTATAAAATGATTCCCATACAGAAGAATTCTGGGACTAGCATCCAGATGACAGCTGTTTGGGCCTTGGTGGGAGAGGCCCTGCTGCGCCCAGCTTCCTTGAGGACAGAAGAGAGGGCGGCCCTGTGGTTTCGCACCTCGGTGTGTGTTTGCATGAAAGTTCTCACCTGTGGGGGGAGTTTTTAATGTGATGAAGTTCACTTTATTTTGAGGTTGTGGGATGTTTTCTTCTGGGATAAAGACACAGGATATTAGTGTTCATTCGGCTTGCTGACGTGGACAAGCATATAGATGACTTCTAAGCCCATTAATTTTCAGTATAATATAAACATTACTACTGTGCTTAATTTAAGAAGAAAAGTTTTTTACTTAAATATTTCACATTTTCCAGTCCTTTAATTACTTATTAGAAATATCCAAAAACTAGTTAAGTCACTGGGATTTGGTGATAACAAAGAATGTTACTATAGTTTTTTTAAGTAGTAGCTTCATTGTTATAGCTTAAAGAGGAACCAAAACCTTAATTCCATTAGTTGTTTCAAACTGTCCTTTTGTTCCCCCCAAACCTGTCATTTTTGTGCCAGTGCATCGACTGACTGTATTGTTTCAAGTAACTGAAAATGCCACAGGTTCGAGCTGTGCTGTATTGGTGGCATGTGTCTGTATTTCTCTGCAGTTGGAAGGGCACAATATCTTCTCCACCCTGAGCTCCAGTGAGTACGAGCAGGTGCTTGAGATCATCCGCAAAGCCATCATCGCCACAGACCTTGCCCTCTACTTTGGGAACAGGAAGCAGTTGGAGGAGATGTACCAGACAGGATCGCTGAACCTCAACAACCAGTCACATAGGTAAACAGAATTTTCAAATGTTGACAAGCCCAGGAAGTGTTATTTGTGGTAAATTTATATTTAAAAACAGAAATGTAATTTGGCATAGGTTTATACTTGACAGTAGAAATGTAAACATGCAGGTATATTGTCATACGTGCACTTTTTATTGACTCTGGATTTTTTTATTTGACGCAGTTTCTGACAGTGTACTGTGAGAGTATTAAAATGGGAACTGGAATTTTAGTTGGTCACACAGAGTGGGTACTTTTTAAATTTTTAAAAATTTTTTTCAGTTGTAACTTTTTTTATTTTTATAAAACTTTTCAAATGGAAAGAATCTCCTCACCTTTTTACATAAGTAAATTTCAACTTCACAGTATGTTCATGTTGAAGTATTTATAATTAACCGGAAGCTTAACACAGTAACGTATCAGACAAGGAAGAGGGCATTAATTCTGCAGGCAGGCAGCAGTGAAAATGCTAACCCCGAACAAACAGTTCCTGACCATTTCCTTATACATTTTGAGTAAAAGATGTAGACTACAGAATGCAGACAGAAGTGAATATAAAATGTATCTTCTCCAAATGCAGCTCTACTTTATACAGGTCTTGAGGTTTACCTGTGATATCAACAAAAAGTTAATGCGCTAGAGTTAGCTCTCTTCCAGGAGTCGGTACTTTTAAGGGGAAGCCATTCTACAGGAAGCTTCTTGAGTTGGTCACAGTCCTCAGAGGCTCAAAAGCCAATGAAATAGGTTCCTTTTTCAGGATCCAAACTGTGTTAACCAAGCTGAAATGATCAATGCATGAAACTGGGATTTCATTTTATTGATCTAGAAATACATATTCCAGGTACACTCACGCGCATCGGGATATTGGCATTCTGTGTGGTCAGGAAACAAGTGGCCATCAAGGTTTCATGCGCATAGTCAGAATGAGGAGATTTTGATCCCTTCACTGTCCTAATGCATCAGTCCAAGTGGGTGATCCCTTCCTTCTGAGAAGGCACCTCACCTAGTAGATCACATACGCACCAGGTGTGTTCCTGTGGCCTGTCCCCCCATCAGGACGTGGGCTCTCATCCATGGCAGATCGCCGGTGGTTACTGCCAGCTCCCTTTGTTAGGACCTCCCTTCGGCCATTTCCATGTCTGACCATGTCCTTCCTCAGTGACGCCATCTTTACCTTTAGGTAGGCTTGTGGACATTCTAGTCTTGCTGAACTTGGGTCTCTCCTCTTTGTTCAGGTGCTTTGCCTACCTCTGTGATCCATTAAGTGCAAATCATAACATTCCTTTCTAGAGGAGGCTGCTTTCAAGTTCTGAGAAACAATTTAGTCAGGTGCCCCCCAACACACAAAATTAGGGTTACAACTGACTACGGACATGTGATAAAGTTCACCTCTTCAGGAATAAGGCACTCGTGGAATGGAATGATGTCTGCGCCTCTGATGAAGCAGCAGCTGTTTGTGATTTGCCTTAAAACTTACACAGGGGAACCTTCTTCAAGGGAGTCACGACAAAGATAGCTATTTTCACAAAGGGCAGTCCAAGCACAGTGCTGGGGCCTTGCAGGGTCACAGAAGGGGTCCCTGTCCTCAAGGGCCCTGAAGGTCTGTCCCTGGTCCCCCGGATGTGTGAGGTGCAATCTCAGGTCTGTACCTTGTACAGGTTCTTGCATTAGCACCTGTACAAGGAAGTGTTGGCTCATAGTTCCTTCCTCAGGCAACTGTAAGGTGGGGAAAGGGTTCCCGTGAGTGTCCTTTGCCTGCTGAGGCCATTTGGATGCATTTATACTTAGATTGTAAATAAGAGTCACGTGACCGGTATCAAGTCTTTTGCATATGCTTTTTGTAAAGTGATTATATAATAACTATTATTATAAGAAAATTTAAAAATATAATTGCAGATAGTATTTGGTGATTAATGCATACATGTGTGAGTGGTGTACACAGTCTAGTTATGTATGATTAAGTCATTTTTCACAGTCAGTAACTAAGGGTAATGCCTATTCTAGCACTTCTAAGTGCAGAGGTGTATGCAGGAAAGAGAACATCATCTGGTTTTCTGCTCCAGTATCAACGGCCTGTTTAGTGTAATCAGATCCCGTGCACGTTTCTGTTTGTTCAAAGCTCTGTGTGTGTGCAGTATATAAACGGACACACCTCTTACCTATTTTAAAACAAAAATGTGACTTTGCCAGATGCATTTATTTTTTCAGAGTTATATATACATTTGGTATGGAGTATTTATAAAGACTTATTAAACCTCTCACATACAGATACTTAGATTTTTCTATAATTTTGCATTATAAATAATGCTGCAATAAACTCTTGCCTATATAGTCTCACCTACTGGCCCTTTACAGAATATACAGCATATACCTATGGTGCTAGAGATGTATACCTGTTACATTCTCTAGAAAGACAGTGGAGAGTCACATGCTTCCTGACATGTGGGTGGAGACTGTTTCCATTAAATACTCGGTTCTCTGACAGCTCCCTACACTGAAGATCCTTTCATGTCTGCTGACCTTTCCTTGTGTTTGCGTCTATGTGTTTGTCTGTCTAGCTCTGGCTGGTTTTTGTTGAATTGTTTACTTTTTTATAAATCAGTTGGCAATCTGTACTTTTGTTAAGGATATTAAAATTTTCTCTGTTATATGTTACAAATACTTTCTTTAGGTGATTTTCAAAAATTTTATTCAGATTTTCTTTTGAATACAAATAAATTCAATTTCATGAGGCCAAGTCATTTGTTTTTATCAAATCTGTTTCCTATCTTGCTTAGAGGATCTCTTTAAGGTTATATAAGTGGTGCTTAAAATTTTCCTTGTGTATTTATATAGTTTTAGTTTTTATTGTTAGATCTTAATTCTCCGGGAGTTACAGTTTTGTAAATATAACTATTTCTTCTTGATGTGTTGAATCAATACTGCTTAATAATTCATTTTCCCGCTGTATTGAATTTATTTTTCATGTAAACTTGATAATTTCTTGGGACTCCTTAAGCCATCTTAAATGCTCATTATCTAATTCTTAACTGTAATCATACTGCTTAATTACTGTAACTATTGAAATTTATCATCCCTATCTGCAAAATAATCTTCATCTTTCATTTACTTTCCAAATATTTCATGGAAATTGTGACTTAGTAAATGTATGTTTTATGTTTTTATAGGAAAGTTTTCAGAGTTACAGAAGAAGTAGAAATTATGCTCAAATGTACACTCATACCTACATTCAAGAATTGTTAAAATTTCATCATAAGTTCTTTGCTGTTTTTTCCACTTTTTACTTCAGTGTAAATCATAGGCATCACAGCCCTTTCCCCTCATCATGATTCTCAGAAAGAAGGCGGCTGTTCTGCTCTCAGGTTTGTCACACGCACGTTGACATTTTGATGCAGCTGCATTATGTTTTATTTCCTCCCTTGAAGATCGAAGCACCTGTCTCCTCATCCAAAAGCAGGGGCATGACTCTGGTGCTGAGGAACACTTACATTTTGTTTATACAAGTCCTGTTGCTTTCCTGGTAAAGTTATGATGGTTCCTCGTATAGGTTTTATTACTTGTAAATGTATTTTTCCCATTTAACTGGAAATAAGGATTTCCAGTATGAATAAAGTTGCAAAGTTTTCTCTGTCAGTATTTGTCAGTTTTGCTTCGTGTTTAAGAACGTGCTACTTGGTGCTCTCTGGGTTACGTTTGTTACGTCTTCCCCATGATTTGCCCCCTTCTGAGTATGAAACGGCTTGTCTTGTTCTTGGTCATACTTCTTGTCTTAACGTCCTCTGTGTCTGATAGCCATTCACACCTGCTTTCCCAGGCCGAGTATTGGCTTCTCGCCCTCCTTTCCAGTTCCCTGTAATCCTGTCTTCATCTTTATATCTAATGTGTCCCTGGTGACCAGCAGCAGTTGAGACCTGCGGTCACTGCTTCTTCAAGGACTGTCTAGTCAGCTTTACCTTAATGTCATCATATTTACGTTTGTCTGTTATCTTGTTCCTTTCCCCCCTCCTGTCTCCTCTTGTGTTAATGGAATGTTTCTTTAGTGTCTATTTTATGTTTTATGTACTGTTACACCTATTTGTATTTTCAGGTGGTTGCGCTTTAGCTTACGGTGTACATTTTTATTAGCCCACTTTGAAGTAATTAATATTCCATTTCTGTACAATGTAAAAACCTTAAAAAAACAGTTCTTTATACTCCTTTTTGTTTTTTGTGCTGTTATTAAATATTGCACTGCTACATGTTCTATACCCCACAGATTGCTACTATTTTCAATTAAGTAGTCAGTTGAGTATTGAAGTTTTTCGGAAGTAGGAAGAGTAAGTCATATTTCCTCACATATGTACCATTTCCAGTATTTTGCATTCATTCCAGTAGATCCAGATTTCCACCTAATACCATTCTACTCCCTTACAGAGAACTCCCTTAAACATTTGTTAAAGTTTTCGGCAACAAACTCTCTCCTCTTTTGTTTATCTGAAAATGTCTTTACTTTGGCTTCTCTTTCAGAGATACTTTTGCTGAATTGAGGATTCTAAGTTGACAGGCTTTTCTGAGCATTTTAAAAATGTGGTGCAGTTGCCTCCCGGCCTCCGTCTTTTTCCTGCTGAGAAGCCAGCAGCCAGCAGCCACGCTTTCTGTTACTCTTCCGAATGTAGAATGTGTCTTTACTCCGGCTGCTCTTAAGGTTTTCTCTCTGTCTTTGCTTTTTGCTTTGTCCACAGTCGGCCTCCGTGTGCTCTTCTCTGTGTTTTTCTTGCTTTAGGTCTTGAGATGCTGGGGTCTGCAGGCTGCTGATTTTAATGAAATTTGGAAAAGTTTTGATTATTACTTTTTTTCTTGCTCATTTGTCAGTTTTCTCCTGCACCTCTAATCACACACCGTGTAGACCACTTAACTGTCTCACAGTTATGGGGCTCTGTCATTTTCAGTGTTTCCCTCTCTGTGCTTCATTTGGGCACTATGGTGGGACCCGACTGAACTCTCACTGATCTTCTCAAATGTTCTCTCTAAGAGAACATTGTTGTTGAGTCCATTCAATGTTTTGTTTTATATATTTTATTTTTTCAGTTCTGAGATTACTTTTTGGTTCATTTAAAAATATTTTTTTTAATTGATTTCAGAGAGAGGGAGAGAGAGATAGAGACATCTATGAGAAACATTGATTGCCTCCTGCACACCCCCTACTGGGGATCCAGCCTGAAATCCAGGCTAGGAATCAAATGGTGACCTCCAGGTTCATGGGTGGATGCTCAGCCACTGAGCGACACTGGTCAGGCTGGTTCATTTTTATAGCTTCTATATCTCTTCTAAAATTTCCTATCCACCCATTGCAGCCAAATATATATGTTCCTGAAGATTCCTTTAACATGTTTATCACTTATGTAAAAGTCCTAGTCTATGAATGGAACCTGCAGTATCTATGAGGTCTGCTTGTACAGAGATCTGGGACAGTCAAGTCAGTTCTGACAAAGCAGAAGCCAGATTTGCATGCCCTACCTGACTTGAGGCTTACTGTAAAATAACAGTAGTCAGACAGCTGTCTCGGTGTTTGCATAGACAAGCGGCGAACAGACTGCAGGAAACTCACACTTAGGCAGCCTATTGATTCCACCCAGGGTGCCAGGTGATTTTTCGGGGGCATGGACAAGTCTTTAAAACAAATGGCTTGAATGACTGAGGCTTCAGTTGGATGATAGACCAAAATGTAAAAGGTGCAATAACAACATTTCAGAGGAAAACCTAGGAAAGGGGTCTTCACGACATTGGAGTAGGTGAACATTTCCTTTAGCACAGGACACTCATGTTCTGAGGCAGTGGTCGGGGACACGGACTCTCAGTTGTCAGTTGAGTAAATATGGGTAACTGATGTGTAGCAAGGTGGTTATAGTTAATAAGATGTATTTTATACTTGAAATTTGCTAAGATCGTAAGTCTTCTCATCACACACAAGAAAAACTGAGGCAGTGGGTGTGCTAATGAATTAGGCTGATGGTGGTAATCATTTCACAGTGTACACGTATCGGATGTCACATTATACAGCCTAAACACGTACAACTGTTATTTGTCAGTCTTGCCTCATTAATGTTGGAGAAAACAAAACAAAACAGGCACTACCCTTCAAGCAAACAAATGTTAAGGTTGGATTTCATCATAATTAAAACCTTATGCTCTTCAGAACAGCCTTTTAAGGAAATGAAAAGACAAAGCACAAAACAAAATATTTGTAATATTTATATTTAATGAAGATATTATACAACTGTTACAACTTAGTAATAAGACAAACAACCAAAGTAAAAATTGCATGAAAAGTTCTTTTAAAATTTAAGTAAAACAGTGAATTATGTTAAGGGAGATTAAACAAATAGTAGTACAAATGACATACAGTGAATTATACTACATATATATAGTATATGGGATAAAAAGTGACATATTCTCAACATAGGATGTGGAGTGTGACTGGAATGTGGGCATCCTGGATCAGAGGCTGCTGAGGGACTAGCTGGTGAGAGACCTTCAGTTCCGCAAGACAGACTTAGTACCTTCATGTCCCAGGCCTGGGCCAAGGGCTGGCTATGCAGCAAAGACCAGGATGGCCACCAGCCCTGCTGCCCCAGGGCTTCTAGTCTAGTGGAGATGGTCCTTCATGACATGTTACTGAATTACCGTGGCGGCAGTTCTGTAAAGGATACTGAGGGTGATAGCCATCATCAGAGCGCCTGGGAAGGTCTTGGAGGGTTTGAAAAAGGAACCCACACTCACCCAGTTCAGCTCCGGGCCATGAGTGTCCTTCAGATAAACTTTTGTTCTAGAAAGCTGATATGGGCTGACTTATTCCCCCACCCTCCACCCTCTACCCCATTCTGAGAAGTCCTAATTCCCAGAATGTTAACAGTATTTGGAGATAGGACCTTTAAGAGGAAATTAATGTAAAATGAGGCCATATAGGTGGGCCCTCATCCAATACAACTGCTGCCCTTAGAAGAAGACATTCAGACACAGACACAGCAGAGGGAAGCCCTAACCCTGCAGTGGCGGGGACATGTGCTCTGGTCATTGTGGCAATAGGGGACAGTGCCTGACGTTCTCACAACTATAGCCATGCCACTCTTTAACCCACTCTTTCCTTTCTGCCAGCTGCACCAGCCCCTTCAAGAGTACCACCTGCTTTAAAGCCTCACTCCTGAAATGCAGAACCCTGTTAAGTCCCTATTATAATGTGCAGGTGCTGACCGGCTCTGTGTCCCTGTGGTCTAGAGACCGTGTCTTACTATAGATGAGCAGAGCTGACCAGTTCTGTCTCCATGTGTTGTAGAGACCACACTGTATTATAGATGAGCAGAGCTGGCTGATTCTGTGTCCCTGTGTTCAAGGGACCCTGTCTTGTTATAGATGAGCAGAGCTGACTGGATTTGTGTTCCGGTGTTCTAGGGACCGTGTCATTGGCTTGATGATGACTGCCTGTGACCTCTGCTCCGTGACAAAGCTGTGGCCAGTTACAAGACTGACGGCAAATGACATCTATGCAGAATTCTGGGCTGAGGTATGTTCTTGATTTTTATATGATTATAGATAATGTCAAGAAATGGGGCAAATGAGGAGTAAATATATGGATGATTTAAGTAATAGTATGCTAGTTGTTTATGTTGCAAGTTATTTCAAAAGACTGCAGTTGATCACACAAGGATGAATTTAGCATTTACACAGCTGGAAAATGAGAACAGTTGTGGCCTCTGACTTGAATGTGTGTCAATTCTCTGATCTCACCTGGAACAGCCCAGGGACGGCTTCACCAAACAGCCGTGCGGCAGTTTTCCTCACTTAATAGTTGGTCTTTGGTTTATTCACTCAAGAATAATCACTGCTCACCTACTTAGCATAGATGCTGTCCAGGCCTCAGGAGGGCCCACAGTCAGGGCTGTGCCGGCAGTTAGACATGAGAAGGAGTTGCCTTTCTGTACCACGGCCCTGGGAACCTGAGTCAGTGCACCAGCCAGTCTAGCAGCAAATTCAGGACACTCCCAACATGGAAGACAAACTGTAAATCACTTGTTTTCTGAACACTTTTTTTGGACTGAGTTACCTAAATGGTCAGAAATGTGTTTTACTCCTTAACTTTCTTCCTGATTTTCCATGAGTAAGTAGAATAGGATTCTCTGGTTCACGCTGTTCCACAAACGCCCAGGTCCGTAAGTATTCGAACGTTACTGTAACTCATGGTATTTCATGAGAAGGGAATGATGTGATTTACAGGTTACTTAGCCCAGGGCCTGCAGCACAGTCAATCCATGGTGAACGTCTGCAGTTACGCCCTTTAAGATGGTGCGTCTTCACTGATGCAGTCTTGATGTGCACTCCCCTCTTAGGCCCGGCCTCATCCTGCTCAACAAGTGAGAAATCGTGGGAAAAGCCAGTAGGGAAAAGGCCTTGAAGCTGTTCCATGTTTTATTCTCCTTTCTCTTCACTATTTACTGCATCTCCTCTTAGGATAACTTGTAACTTTTGCAAGTGAGGCCCAGAGACAGCTGGGTTCCTGGGCAGGCAACGCAGAGGGACCTCAGGATAAAACCCAACTGATACATTCAGGTTTTCATTGTTCTGACTTCTTGTTAATGTTGATCTCCAAAAACATGATTCCTTTAGAAGAAAATTTAAAAGGGAAGAACTCATGAGTATAACTGTTTACAAATTGAGAAGGCATGATTTCCCTCTTCTCTCAGGGTGACGAGATGAAGAAGCTGGGGATACAGCCCATTCCTATGATGGACCGGGACAAACGGGATGAGGTCCCACAAGGCCAGGTAGGAACTGTCCAGTGGTTAAGGGGATCATGCACTCATACGTGAGTAAAAGCACACGCTACCTGTGTTTTACATGCAGTGACGGCTCAGACGCTTTATAGTGCTTTACCTGGGAGGGGCTTAGGACTAGGAAGAACCACCAGGCGCTGAAACAAGCCTGCCTGTGCTCAGATGCTCTCAGGCATCCCACTAACAGTGACCAGTGACAGGAAAGTGGATGCTGGCAGATTCTGTATTTCTAAGCTGGTGTTTCTAGCCTCTGATTCTGTTCCCAAGGCTGCCAGCTGACCTTGGAGGCTTGAGGGTAAAGCTGTGATGTGGACTTGAAATGAAGTAGGAAAACTGGAGAATTCATTCAAAACCGTCATTCTCTGGGGATTTTCTGAAATTATTTCTACCCTAAATTCCATGTTATAATTATTTGTTCATAACTAACTTCCTTATTGTGATATTAGAAGATTGGGAGTTTAAAAAGACTAGTGGTCAGAGGATGGAACCCAGAGCCATGTGAAACCCTCTCCACTTAGATGGAGTTTGGGGATAGTAAGACCAAGACTGGGAAACCCTAATTCACACCCACCATGTCAGCAGTTCTTCGTGCAGGTGTAATTGCAGTAACAGGTGTTTTCTTTTCACTTGAGATGGGGTAGATGAGTGTGAATTGTTAATACTTTTTTAATAAGCAGAAAGTATGTTGTCACTGAATATACAAAGATACTTTTTTGGAGTGTAACACTTTTTTGGAGATTTTAATTAGGTCCACTTTTCCTAACAAATAATGAAAGTATTTTAGTACATTCTGAGTTTTGTCTCACTGTAAATTCACATTAATTATTCCCTTTCCAGGGAATGCACAGAAAATTATGTAACTTGTGCTAATTTTTATGTTTTGAGAGTTCTTGCGCCCTGTTAATTTTCCATGTGTACACATATGGTGTAATGAATTTCTCAAGATTATAGTCTTTTTAAACGCCCAGTCTTCTAATATCACAATAAGGAAGTTAGATATGGACAAATAATTGTAATATGGAGTTCAGGATAGAAATAATTCCAGGAAATTCACAGGACGATGATTTTGAATGAGTTCTCCAGTGTTCCTACTTTCTTTAAAGTCAGTTTATTGACTATTAACGCAAACATCTGTGCATCGAGGGGGCGGGCACAGTGAGAGGCTGCATGTTCTCTCTTCACCACGGCCTTCAGTGAGCAGCTTCCCCGTGTCCTTAGCCAGGTGTTCTGATGGGATGCTCGCTGCTGCTTCTCTGTGCACCCAGCACACCTGGCATGCACGTTGCTCAGATGCTTTGAGCTTATCTGCTTTTCACTGTTGTTTATGGCCCTTTCCCCGTGTGTGGTCATAGCAGTCAGTCTCTCTGGTCTGGTGTCTGCTCTGCGCGTCCTACAGGGATTACATCACACTGTCCGTAACACCTTTATGCATACTGTTTCATCACTTCATATTTGTTTGTTAATTTATTTGGAGTTTGTCTTGTTATATAATTTGAGTTAGGGACCTAACAGTGTTTTCTCTCTGCATAGTTAAGCACAGACCCAGCAGAACACACAGGATAGCTGAAAATATCCCTGGAGATGGGGCTGTGTTCTAGTGTGACTTAAGGGACTATTTTGTGTTTTTACAAAATTACAGACTCATTTACAGTATGAGAGAGTTTTAGATAAAATACTTCTGTGGTCAACTAGTATATTACCAACTACATTGCTTCTAAATTGTGATTGCCATGAAATTATTCTCTGCTACGATCATACAATACTCTACTTTCTAGTGCCTAATCTAGTGCCTCATGGAGATCTTGGCTCCATGAGGTCTGCCCAGTATTAAAATGAGCACATCTCTGCATGAGCCATAAAGATGGAGATGCATGGGCATGGTCCTAGTAAGGTTGCTGTGATGGTAGGCTTTGCAGCAGGAGAAAGTGGAAGGGAACGAAGCAGATTTGAGCTTTCTATATGTTTTCACAACTCATTGAAGGTCATTTTTCAAAGGAACTGGGAAGCCATGGTTTGGAGTCAGCTTAGCCAAGGGCCAGTGTTATCTTGTCCATGTTGTCCCCCACTCAGGCTGCTGTCTGCAGCTCATTAGTCCGTGATGGCTACTAGCCTGCAGGTCTTCTAGTCGGCCAGTCTGAGCTGGCACTGTTTATTTGCATAGTAGCCCAGATAAAATATCAAATACCTAATAAAGTATTCTTTGATCTGTTTTTTAAAGTGCCACAGATGAAAAACAGTAGAATTTGACATATTGAGAGAATTGTGACAAAGTCAGTGGGATTTGTTGTAGGTCAGAAAAAGGTAGTGGGGGGGATCAACACAGTCTCATGGAGAGCAAACAAGGTACCAAAAGTCAGCAGGTTCACAAGCAAACGAAACATCCTGCTGTGGTTCCTGAATGTGAAGTTGGAGAAGGGTCATCCCTGTGTAGAGGCAGGTGCTTGACTGACATGTCTACGGTGGACACCAAATCTGACCAGAGATGAGAAGTGCACCTGGAATACAACTCACGTCATCTAAAGTAGATCTCATGGAGTGTTATACTTGGGGTTTTATAATAATTCTTTGTATATGTTTAAAGTTTGTCTGCATTTCATTTCTAGAGTGTGTTGGATGCATTTGTAAACTTATTTTGTGGCAGTGTTCATTGAGCCCGATATCACATAGCAAACCTAGACATTAACGCAATAGTCAGGCTTTAGGCACAGGAAATTCCTGTGAGGGATACTGTGCTGCAGTGGCTAATGTACAGTGTGTTTCTTGCCGGTGGTTCTGTCCGCAGCTTGGATTCTACAACGCGGTGGCCATCCCCTGCTACACCACCCTCACCCAGATCTTCCCGCCCACAGAGCCACTCCTCAAAGCCTGCAGGTATGTTCAGTGTTGGGGGAGAGACTAAGACTCTGAAGGATTTTTCCATATTGCAACACTGTTACAGATGTAGTACCCCACTTATTGTTGACACTATTATAGATGGCCCCCTTTGCGAAACTCCACCCCCGCCTCCTCCCACCCTCTGGCCATCACTACACTTTTGTCTGTGTCCAAGGGATGTGCATATATGTTCTTTGGCTAATGAATTCACCTTCTTTCATCCTGTACCTACCCCCCAACAGCTGTCAGTCTGTACCATGCTTCCATGCCTCTGGTATTATTTTGTTTATCAGTTTATTTTGCTCATTAGATTTCACACATAAGTGATATCATATGGTGTTTGTCTTTCTCTGACTGGCTTATTTCATTTAGCATAATAATCTCCAGGTCCATACATGCTGTGGCAAAGGGTAAGATTTCCCTTTTTTTTTTTTTTTTTTAACAGCCGCATAATATACCATTGTGTAAATGTACCACAGCTTTTTTAACCACTCATCTACTGATGGGTACTTGGGCTGTTTCCAGATCTTAGCTATTGTAAATAATGCCACTGTGAACATAGGGGTGCATATATTCTTTCTGATAAGTGTTTCAGGTTCCTTAGGATATATTCCTAGAAGTGGGATCATTGTGACAAATGGCAGTTTCATTTTTAATTTTTTAAGGAACCTCCATACTGCCTCCCACAGTGGCTGCACCAGTCTGCATTCCCACCAGCAGTATACTAGGTTCCCCTTTTCTCCACATCTCCCCAGCACTTGTTGTTTGTTGATTTGTTGATGGCAGCCATTCTTACAGGTGTGAGATGACACCTCATTGTGGTTTTAATTTGCATCTCTCTAATGATTAGTGACATTGAGCATTTTTTCATATCTCTTGGCCATTTGTATGTCCTTTTTGGAGAAGTGTCTATTCAGGTCCTTTGCCCATTTTTTAGTAGGGTTGTCTGTCTTCCTGGTGTTGAGTTGTATAAGTTCTTAATATATTTTGGAAATTAACTCCTACTCATGTATCATTGGAAAATATGTTCTCCCATACAGTGGGCTCCCTTTTCATTTTGTTGATGGTTTCTTTTGCTGTGCAGAAGCTTTTTAATGTGATGTAGTCCCATTTGTTTACTTTTCCCTTTATTTCCCTTACCCTAGGAGATGTATTGGCAAAAATACTGCTCTGATAGATGTTTGAGATTTTAATACCTGTTTTATCCTAGGATTTTTAATGGTTTTGTGACTTATATTTAAGTCTTTTATTGATTTTGAGTTTGTTCTTGTGTATGGTATAAGTTGGTGATCTAGTTTCATTTCGTTGCATGTACCTGTCCAATTTTCCCAACACCATTTATTGAAGAGACTGTCTTTACTCCCATTATTACCTCTGTTGTCAACTATTAATTAACCATAAAGAAATGGGTTGGTTTCTGAGCTCTCTATTCTGTTCCACTGATCTATATGCGTCCTCTTATGCTAGTACCAGGCTGTTTTGATTACAATTTCTTTGTAGTATAACTTTATATCCGGTATTGTGATACCTCCAACTTTGTTGTTCTTTCTTAAGATTGCTAAGGCTCTTCAGGGTCTTTTTTGGTTCCATATAAATTTTTGGAATATTTGTTCTAGATCTGTGAACTGTGCCATTGGTATTTCAATAGGGATTGCAGTGAATCTATAGATTGCTTTGGGTAGTATGGACATTTTAATTTTGTTAATTCTTCCAGCCTGTGAACATGGCATGTGCTTCCACTAATTTGTATCTTCCTCAGTTTCTTTCTTCAGTGTCATATAGTTTTCCATGTATGGGCCTTTTACCTCCTTAGTTAAATTTATTCCTAGCTACCTTATTATTTTTGTTACAATAATAAATGGGATTTTTTCTTAATTTCTCTTTCTGAGAGTTCATTATTGGTGCATAAAAATGCCACCAATTTCTGAATATTAATTTTGTGTCTTGCTACTTTGCCAAATTCATTTAGACCTAGTAGTTTTTTGGTGGGGTTTTTAGGGTTTTCTATGTACAGTATCATGTCATCTGCGAATAATGATGGTTTTATTTACTCCTTTCTAATTTGGATGCCTTTTATTTCTTTTTCTTGTCTGATTGCTGTGGCTGAGACTTCTAGTACTATGTTGAATCAGAGTGGTAAAAGCAGACATTCCTCATCTTTAGGGAAAGCTTTTTAGTTGACTGTAGGTTTGTCATATATGGCCTTTATTATGTTGAGGTATGATCCCTCTATTCCTAATTTGCTGTGAGTTTTTATCATAAATGGGTGCTGGGTTTTATTGAATGCTTCTACTGTATCTATTGATGTGATCAGGTGATTTTTATCTTTCATTTTTTATGTATTACATTTAGTGATTTACAAATATTGTACCGACCTTGCACCCCTGGAATAAATCCCACTTGTCCTAGCATATGATCTTCTTAATGTATTGCTGGACCCTTTTGCTAATGTTCTGTTGAGGATTTTGGCATCTATGTTCATCAGGGATATTGGTCTGTAATTTTTTTTTTCTTTGTAGTGTCTTTTTCTGGTTTTGGAATTAATAAAATGCTGGCCTTGTAAAAAGAGCTTGGAATTCTTTCCTCCTCTTAAATTCATTAGTAGTTATCAGTCTATTCTGGTTTTCTAATTCTTCTGATTGAGTTTTGGAAGATTGAATACTTCTAGGAATTTATCCATTTCACCCAGGTTGTCCAGGATAGGATGTTGGCATATAGTTGTATTTGTTGGCATGTAGTTGGCATATAGTATTTTCTTAGAATCCTTTGTATTTCTGTGATGTCAGTTGTTACTTCTCTTTCATTTCTGATTTTATTTATTTGGGTCCTCTTTTTTTCTTGATGAGTCTGGTTAAGGGTTCATCAATATTGTTTATCTTTCCAAAGAACCAGGTCTTGGTTTCATTGATCTTTTGGGGGTTTTGGCTTTTTTTTGTTTTTTTTGGTAGGTTTTTGTTTTTGTTTTTGTTTTTTATCTCTATGTCATTTATTTCTGCTCTGATATTTATTATTTCTTTCCTTCTACTTACTCAGGGCTTTTTTGTTGTTGCTTTTTAAGGTCTTTTAGGTGTAGGGTTAGATTGTTTATTTGATATTTTTCTTGCATCTTGAGATAAGCCTGCAGTGCTGTGAACTTCCCTCTCAGGACTGTTTTCTCTGTGTCCCATAGATTTTGGGTTGTTTTCTGTTCGTATTTGTTTCAAGGTCATTTATTTGTTTCAAGGTCATTTTTTATTTCTTCCTTGATCGCATGGTAACCCATTCATTGTTTAATAACATGCTCCTTAGCCTGCATGTGTTTGAATGTTTTTGAGCTTTTTTATTGTAGTTGATTTCTAGTTTCATTCCATTGTGATCCAAGAAGATGCTTGATATGATTTCAATATTCTTGAATTTGTTAAGACTTATTTTGTTTCCTAACATGGTGTCTGTTTTTGAGAATGTTCCATGTGCACTTGAGAAGAATGTATATTCTGCTGTTTTTGGATGAAATTTCTGTAAATATGAATTAAATCCATGTGATCTAGTGTGTTGTTTTAAGGTTGCTGACTCCTTGTTGATTTTTTGTCTGGAAGATCTGTCCAGTGATGAGAGTGGGGTGTTAAAATCCCCTACTTAACTGCATTGCTATCTATCTCTTCCTTAAAGACCACCAAGACTTTAAAAAACATATTTAGGTGCTCCTGTATTGGGTACTTATATGTTTACAAGAGTTACATCCTCTTGTTGGATCAATTCCTTTAATATTATGTAGTGACCTTCTTTGTCTCTTGTTAGGGTCTTTGTTTGGAAGTCTATTTTATCTGATATAAGCATTGCTACCCCAGCATTTTTTTCATTTCTCTGCATGGAATATTTTTTTTTATCCTTACACTTTCAGCTTGTGTGAATCTTTTGTTCTGAGGTGGTCTCTTGTAGACAGCATATATATGGGTCCTGTTTGCTTATCCATTCATCTACCCTATGTCTTTTGATTAGAGTATTTAATCCATTTAAGTTTATTATTGATAGGTACTTATTTATTGCCATTTTTTTCCCCTTTATATCTATGTTCCTTTCTCTATTTCTTCTTCTTAAAGCAGTGGATTGGTGGTAATGAACTCCTTTAGCTTTTTTGTGTGTGTGTGTGTGTGTCTAGGAAACTATTTTGCTTCAATTTTAAATGATAGCCTTGCTGGGTAGAGTAGTCTTGGTTGCAGGCCCTTGCTTTAGATGACTTTGAATATGTCATGCCAATCCCTTCTGGCCTGAAATGTTTCTGTTGAGAATCACCTGACAGCCTTTTGGGAGCTCATTTGTATGTAACCGTCTCTCTCTTGCTGCCTTTAAGATCCTTTCTTTGTCTTTAACCTTTAGCCATTTTAATTATGATGTGTCTTGGTCTGGGTCTCTTTGGGTTCATCTTGACTGGGACTCTCTATGCTTCCTGAACTTGTGTGACTTTTTTCACCAGGTTAGAGAAGTTTTTCTCCCATTTGTTCAAGTAGATTCTCAATCCCTTGCTCACTTTCTTCTCCTTCTGTAACCTCTATGATGTGGTGGTTATTACATTTCATGTTGTCCCATAGTTCCCTTAAACTATCCTCATTCTCTTTAATTCTTTTTCCCTCATGCTTCTCTGATTGGGTGTTTTTTCCTACTGTTTTCCAAATCGCTGATTTGGTTCTCTTCTTTGTTCCACCTACTTTTTATTCTCAGTGTATTTTCGATGTCAGATACTGCATTCTTCATTTCTGACTGGCTATTTTTCATGGTTTCTATATCGGATTTCATGCTGTTGCAGTTCTTCCCAAGTTTCTTGCGCATCCTTATAACCATTACTCTGAACTCTAATTCTGATAAGTTGATTGCCTCTACTTCATTTAGCTCTTTTTCTGGAGATTCCTATTGTTCTTCCGTTCGGGGCCTGTTTCTTTGTCTCCCCATTTTGGCTGTCTCTCTGTGGCTATTCCTAATGTCCCTGGATGTTCCCATTTCCTCTCTACTGACCCACAGCTTCCCCAGCATTAACCTGATGGCACATCCCCACTTTGTTACGCTTCTAAATGGTTGAGAATGATCTGTCCTGAGCCTAGCTCGCTTTCTGCCCTTGCCGTCTGGGACCAGGACCCCCCCCCCCCCC